TGTCCTTCAAATCGGGGAAAAGGAAGGACGTATTTGTTGGCCGCATCGGAGGAGTCCTCAGTTTTGGACGTCCTTCGTTGTGGCACTATGACATACGCGGCCGACGAATTCGGCCTTTGGAGGACCCGGCCTGCCGTTTTGGACATATTATGTGTTTCTCAGGCATATATTTAAATACTATACCATAATAAAGAATCTATGTCACCTTTAGCTGTTATTAAAATGCTGTTTTTATGTTTAAATAGAAAATAAACTTATCTTCTCATCACTTCCTCTTCTAAACACCTTGAAATTGGCCTCTGTCTCTTTAAGAACCACCTTCCGCTTCTGTCACCACCCCATGCAGTTTACTTGGCATCTGAAAATACATTTCCTCAAAGGTATTTTGAATCTGAAAAGATCTTCACTGAGTGAGAAGTAGTGTTAGGAGCTCAACAGTTTCAGTTTCATTTCAGTTTCACCTGTTGTTTGCTTTGTTACTGCCATGAGTCATGGGCGGGGTGTGTGTGTGTGTGTGTGTGTGTGTGTGGGTGGGGGGGGTGCTCTGCCACGAGGAAGTTTGGCTTAAAGACACATCCCAGTGGAGGAGATTGTCCCAAATGGACACAACCCAGAGGCGTTTCTGGTTTCCACCTGTCGTTTTGCTCCTCAGCATGGCTTCATAAAAACACTGCAGGATTTCTCAAACATGCATGAATGAGTCAGAGCAAGGCTTTGGGCATGTTTTTTATGAGAGTATAACATTATAACATGATATAAAACTAAAAAAAGATGACTTTACATGATATTGCCCCTTTAAAGTATTCAATGCTTCGTTTATTGTTGAGCAGGTAAAGGAATAATATTTTTGACTCTCAAGTCCTTCTGACTTTATGATTTTGGCCCACGTGACAAAATGTTTGGACACCCCTGGCTTATAGTATTGCCCCCCATATGTGAAGTAGGTTGATTCCACGCACAGTTTCAGGGGTTGGCCCAGTTGTTCTATGGAAAGAGTGGTTGTGTTGCTAAGAGTGGTGTCTGATTTTAATCTTACACAGACTACATCCACCGCCTTATCAACAGGAACGCACGTAAAGAGTGATGTGTAGGGCTGTCACAAACGATTATTTCTATAATCGATTAATCACCGATTATTTTTTCGATTAGTCGACTAATCAGATCATACATTAACCGAATAGAAAACATAAAGCTTATCGCATCAGAATGCAGCTGCTATTATATAACCATGGTTACATTTTAGCTATATGCTAACTAAAAATAATTGCTGTGGAAGACAAGTTCTGCCTTGCAGGTTTCTCTGTCATTTTCTTAAAATGATCCCACACTTTGAGCTCCGTTGTCAGGTAGCCATGATACCAGAGCCTGTCTGTATAATGTCTTGTGACGTCCACGGYCTACCCCAGTTACCACTACTGTGCATGTGTGTCAAGGACAGAAAGGCAGATGTGGCAGTGGAAGGTGTCAAAGCAGTTTGGAGAGAAAAACAAAGTAAACAAAGTAAAAAAGAAAACGATTAATCGATTATTAAATTAGTCATAATCGTTGCAGCCCTAGTGATGTGACATCAAAGGAGACCATAGTTTCATCCGTCTACATGATGACATCCCTCACCTTGTTCACAAAGTCCATAGTGTTCTGTATGTCATGTTCTGAACTGCCAAATAATGGACCAAGTACTGACGTTAGTTATTTGGAAACATGGCTGTGATCATCTCAACCAGAGGAATTCTTCTTGGTGCGACCGCAAAGTTCGGTCATCTGGATAGGATTTCGGCTTCTGGCTGCGTGAGTTCTCTGTCTGATAAATTGATAAAATTTTCACCCACTTCTCTGTCTCCCTGGCATTTGCTTGTGCTCCTGTGTGCTGTCCCACCTTCTGTGAGTTGTTGGAATTACGAAGGGACTGTCGACTCACCAGTAAAGTGAACTTCTTTTGTTGTCTGGTCTTGGACTTGATATGCTGAGCTAAACCTGTCTTTTCTGTAAAATCCATAACCTGTTGGAATGTGGTCTGATCTAGATGTTTTGTTAACTCTTACATGTGTTCTTCTTTGGCTTCTACAGCTTCAATGATGAAGTTGGTCTGTCTTAGGTCTGTGCCCTCTGTAGGATCTTACTTGTCCGTTGTCCACCAACAGATGATTTAAGTTGAAGACTTTTTGAAAGGGACATTTTGGAATAAAAATGGCTTGAATTAAATAGAAATGAATCCAAAATAGTTTATATTATTGTGAAAAAAAAATCCATTGTGAAATGTTTTATAACAATACGCACATTTTTAAAGAGTAATGAAAAATATTTCACAATAATGAGTTTAGAATTATAAACCGGTACACATTCAGTTATTTTATGGAGGTAAATTTGTGTTTTTATTATTCAATCAAACAAAAAGCATCTTCAATCAAAAAAATAATAATTTCAATCAAAAATATATTTTTCAACCAAACAAAAAATAAATTCTATCATAATTAATATTTTCAACCAAAAATAATAATTTCAATCAAAAATATATTTTTCAACCAAACAAAAAATAAATTCTATCATAATTAATATTTTCAACCAAAAATAATAATTTCAATCAAAAATATATTTTTCAACCAAACAAAAAATAAATTCTATCATAATTAATATTTTCAACCAAAAATAATAATTTCAATCAAAAATATATTTTTCAACCAAACAAAAAATAAATTCTATCATAATTAATATTTTCAACCAAAAATAATAATTTCAACCAAACTAAAAAAAGCAGTTTCAATTAAAA